TCTTAAGCCCAGGATAAGGATCCAGGCTGCAGGACGTTTGGTCGGAATAACCAAAAATTTCTTCTAAGTTGGCTGGATTAAAACCAACTCTTATTACTCTTCAGCCGAAGTAAGGGTATGGCTGAAGAGTGGTTGACTGGATTAAAACCAACTCTTAGTACTCTTTAGCCGAAGTAAGGACATTGGCTAAAAGAGTGGTTGGTTGTATTAAACTCTTATTACTCTTCAGCCGAAGTAAGGGTATTGGTTGAAGAAAGGTTAACTCGATTAAATCAATCTTGGTACTCTTCAACCGAAGTACGTATTTCGGCTAAAGAGTGGTTGGCTAGTAAACTCAGTCAGATTGCTCAGCTAAAACCAAAATAAAGTATCTTGGCCACACTACTATTAGAAAGTAAGCTCAAACAGGAATTTAAACCGAGATAACAGTTGGAAGTGAAAAGATCATGGAAAAGTCATTACAAGTACAAACATGCAGATCAACCGAAGTAAGAGTTCAAAACAAGAAAATTTTCATTCATCAAAGAGCAAATACAAATGAGGGGCCGCAGCTCGGTTACAAGTCCAAAACAAAAGGCAAAAGAAAAATACAGGAATCAATTGAACAAATCATCTATCTCGGCATCCAGACCAGCATCACCATCAACCCGAAGCGCGGTCTCTGGCTGGAGCTCAGTCTCGGTCGCAAGTATGGTCTCGGTCGGAAGCACGGTCTCGGTTGGTTGCTCAATGATCAGGTCTTCCATCGTGTGCTCCGCCCGAGCTGATTGATTTGTTGGAACATTGCCGACCGAGGTATCAGTTGGCTCTTCTTCATTGTCGTCAGAACTCTCAAGGAACTGCTACTGAACGGATGCAGCATACTGAGTTAGTGAGGCCGGAGTAAAATACTGCAGAGCATTGTAGACCTCGGTTTCGGACCCACAACGGAGCTGCTCCACAGCACTTCTCCAGCCGCACTTGAAAAATAAGTCCTTTGCTGCCTCACATTGTTGGATATAAGCAGCCTCGCCTTCTTTGTAGCCCTTTTGCTCGGCGTCATCAGCCTTCTTCTTCAATTCATTTATTTCGGCGTCTTTGGCACTTTCAAGCTTTGCGAGCTCCCACAAATACTTGTCTTTCATTTCGGTTAGTGCTCTTTGTTTGTCAGAATTAGCCGAGGTAACCAGTCCGGTTAAGCGAGTTACCTCGGCCTCCAGCTCGACCATCTTTGCTTGTGATTGTTTGAGCTCAGTGGTCTTGGCTTCAGCTTCTGCCATGGCCTCCCTTGTAGTTCTCCTGAGCTCCAACACTCGTTTGTGTGCGATGTTGTTTTTTTGAATGGCCTGCAATAGTGTAGAAACTTTCTTCTTTAACCGAACTAAAAGATGGAAAAAATGATAAAAATGAAAAAGCAAAGAAGAGAATTGCCTACCAGGATCATGGATTTTGTTGAAGATCGGATGGCCTTCAACTCGGTGTTCAATTGATTGCGGTGCTCCATGTCTTTTGGAAGGCACACACTTTTGGCAAGGTTGAAAGCCAGTATGTGATCCTTCTCAGCAACCACTGAGTCAGTATCTTGGATATCTCGGTTCTGAAACGTGAGCTTGGGAACCCACTTGGAGGTAGATCGGTCAGATGGCTCCGGTTGAGGGTTTGGTGGGGGGCTCGGCGGAAGGATGGTTTCATCCTCATCTACTAAGCGCGGCTCAGTTTGGTTAGTCCGGGCATGCTTCTTTGACTGAGATGAAGAAGGTTGTTGCGTTGGCAGCGCCACCACGGTCTCTTAGGTTTGGCTCGGTGGCGGTACTTCGGGTCTGTTGGTTTCGGTCAAGAGGGCCCTGACTCTATTTCTCTTGGCCATTTCTTGTTCGGCTGTGAGAGGGATTAGTCTAATTTCTAGCAAGGATGGGTCCGGTTCTGGGGCCTCCTCTAGCAGAAAGTCGGTCACTCTCGCTTTTCGGTGGCCGCTATATCTATAGGTCGGTTCGAACTTTAGCAGCTTGGCCCAACTACGTTCTGGATACCGTAGTGCGGCGCGTAAGGTCGCTAGATTTGGGTAGTTGTATAGAGACTGGAGGTGGGCAGAATCTACGAAAGAAGACAACTGTTAGTTCGGCTGAAAAATTAAAAACCGAAATATAGTAAAGCACGCAAGAAAATCGAAGTAATTATACCAGGTGTTCCTTTTTTCCAATTAATGCTTCGGCCAGGAATCTGGGCTTGGTGATCCTCAAAGTTCCCAGACACCCAGAAAAAATCGTCGTCATTCAAGTCTTTATCCGGTGTGTTTTTTATTATTTTCTCACGTCGACAGCGTATTCTAAGATAGTACACCCAGCCGTCTTCTTTCGAACCTATGGAATACTGGTGGAAGATTTTGGCTAGACCGAGGTTAATGCCTGCTTGGCGGTTTAGTTCGGCTATACCCATTATTATGTGGTAGGAGTTGGTGGAAAGCTGGGTTGGGCATAGTCTGGTTTGCCTAAGGAATTCACAAATAAGGGTTTGGACTGGAAATCTTAGCCCGGTTTCTATTATTGAAACGCCCTGGTTTCCCTAAGGTATGACATCTTTTTCGGCTAAGATTAGGTGGACGTCGTCGGGTATATTGTAATCTTTTCAGAATTCGGCTAGACCACCTGAGGTATTTACTAAAAATCTATACTTCCCCATTTATTTTTAAGTTATGAATAAGTTAGATCGGTGGCAAAATTGTGCTCAGTAGCTCGGTATGGCGCGCAATGGAGTGCCTGGGCAACCTAAGTCTGCAAAGTGGAAAACAAAGGGGTTAAGCACAGATCATTGGACCGTGCTACAAAATAAAAGCAAAAATAGGAGTCCTACTTCGGCTATGTGGATGCTGCAGGTTCTGTCTCGGTTTCAACAAGATGCTTAGTAGCTCGGATTGAGCAGGGGGTTCGAAATCTCGGTCTTGGCAAGCGATTCGTTATCTCGGTTAAATAAAAGGCTCAGTTAGATCGGTTGAGCCTCTAGGGGCAGCTTTTTGAGTTCGGTCTAAAACTTAGAAAGCTGGCTTAGCCCCAAAAATCCTAGCTCGGTCGAAAGATGAGGTTTCAGTATGCTATGTTCGGACTTAGTTCGGCTCGTTTACCTCGGCTAAGGTCTATCAAAAAGTGGTTGACTTATTGAAACTACTGGTACCAACATAGAGTGCTAGTTCGGTTAAAGTCTGATAGAAGGACATTGACTACAAACTACTTTCTAGTTTGGTTATATGGTAATTATGGATCAAACGCTGTTTTATAGATTACTTCATGATGTTCATGAGGTTCTTATGAAGTTTTTCCTAAAAAAACGCATGATAGAGCAAGAAAAAGTGTTTTGCAAAAACACTCAAAACAAAGTACGAAAACAAGGAAAGCAAGATAAAGGTGTAGTGCTTACCAGGTGAAGAGGCAAGAATTGGAGATGAGAGCAGCAGCAATGGACAACACGAGCTCAGAGGTTGAAGAAGCAATGGAGGTTCAGAGAGAGAAGTTGAAGAATGAATGGCGTAAGTGATTCTCTAGCCAAGGGTTGTTTTGTGGAAAGAGAAGGGGCAAAATGCGGGAACTGTTCAAATTGTATGAAGTACGAGGGCGGCGTGACAGCTGCGATAGGCCAGTAAGGGCGTGCCACGTGTCCTGGGAAGGAGAAGCGATTCAGTTACTGTGATTGAAGAGACGTTTTGACCGGACAGCTAGAGCCCGGCATGAATTTAGCTCGGTTGGATAGGCTAAAGGGTTTTTAGCTCGGCTGGAAAGACTAAAGGGTTTTTAGCTCGGCTGGAAAGGCTTAAAACTTTAAGCTCGGCTGATAAAACAGGTAATCCCTATCACGCTATGCAGATGGAATTAAGGGGCAATTGAGACGGTAATTTATATGAAAATTGGGCCGAGCTGGGTAATGGGCCATCATGGGCCGTAATACAAAGGGCTGAGTAAAAAGGCTGTAAAGTTAGTCCGGTCCAAGAGCCCCAAAGCTAGTCCGGCCCGGAGGAGACTTGAAGTTAGTCTGGTCTAAAGACACTTTGAGGTTAGTCCGGTCTCAGAGTTAGCCCGGTCATGGCGTATCTTGGTTAGAACGGTCAGAACCTTACTATTCGGTAGCTCGGTCTGATCACACCAAGGTTTGTACATGAGAGAATCGAGATAAGGTGTAGCGAAAGGAAGAACCGAACTAAGGATAGTTCGGCCTACTCTGCGGCTCAGCATAACCATGATTACTTCGGTCATATTGGAGTTCGGCCATGGTAAAAACTATCTCACTTGGTTTAAGCAGTGAGGGGGGTGTTGAAGGATAAGTATTATTTTTCAGGAGTATGAATCCTAGGAGGACTCCGCATGGAGGAGTAGAAGTCCTACTAGGATTGTGCCACACGAAACCTATAAAAGCTCACAAACATCACCTTTGGAGAGGTAACACACAACTTTGCATTCTGAATACACAGAGCTTTTGTCTAGTGGTCAAGCTTACAGACTTAGGCATCGGAGAGGTTTCCGGCACACATCCGCCGGCTAGCTCACGTTTGTGTTTTCAGGTGATAAAGCGACGACATACAGAGGAGCGCAGACTTGATCAATAGGATTATACGAGAAGGTTTATTTCTTTCCCGTACAAATCCCATTTGTTGACTTAAATAGTATGATGCATACAATGGATCATCGTGCTACAACAACAGAGACATGCCTACTTTGATCATCCAACAGAAGGGGAGAAAAAGGTTTCTGATTTGTTGCAGAATTTCAATTGGTTAATTGTGTTTTGAAGCAAGGAATGAATTAACTTTTAGTCCCAAATTATGTTCACATGGCAACCAAGTTTAAAGAGCTTCAATAGAATTACGAGCTTTGTGACTGAACAGAATAGCAGTGCTTTTTGTGCACTTCACAGCATATATAGCATAGTGTATCAACCTTTTCACAGAGACCAAGATAGATTGTATAGAAACATGAAATTTGTAGTAAAAATATTGGAAATTTTTTTTGTATGTATGATAGAAACAGAGACAAATATATATAAACAGTCAGTGTGGGACAGGAAGAGATACAAAGGCTTGAGCTAGTTGTTTTGAAACACACACAAACAAATATAAATACAATATAATATTACAATAAAAACTAAACTTAGATTATGATGCAGGGAAACATGTAGAAAACAAGGACAATGGGCCTTTGGGGTCAAATCCGCCAAAGTAAGCTTGAACACAATAATTTTTGCCTCTAACAATACGATTGCTCCAAGTACTTGGACGCAACGGGGTCTGCATGAGATTAGCATTGATCCTTTCAAACGGGATAACGCGTGGCTTGAATTGCATGTGGCCTTGTGGAACTGGCTGAGCTAGTGGCTTGATATTGACTGTCGCTGGAGGCAATTTTGGTTTGGGATTTACAGATCTGGAACCGAGGGAAAATATCCATGATTTTCTTCAACGTATACTCAAAAGTTTTCATGAGTGATAAGTACAAAGGCAAGTAGGAAATGGCAAATATGGTGACCGGGAAGAACGCCACAGAGTACAAGGCAATTCTCTCCCACTGTTGCTTATTGCTAATCATTAGGATTACTGTTGCCGCAAATGCAAACATCATCATTGACACGGAAAAAATCAACAATGTAACTCCTATCATGAGTCTTTGAGGAAGAGAATGCTTGAAGTCTTTTAGCCGAAAAGAGGATGTGAGGATAGAGAGGAATGTGATGACTGATGTCAAAGCGAATGTAAGCGAAAGCACATCTGTCAAAGTGAAAATCACAAAGAAAGGGTGGCTGAGGAGAAGTGGATAGCCAGTGGTTTGATTTGGACCCCCCGGCACAGTGTAGGCTGCAGCAAAGGCAACAGTGGCAATCAACACTGCGACAATGGAACAATTTTCAGAGGTTCGCTTGAGCCATTCTTTGGCATCTGTTTGAAGTGGAGCATTGTTAGCTGCAAAGAGCTTCTCAGCAGTCTGCCCTTTGTTGTTGAAGTGTTTAGTGAAATGGGCCATGGAGATTTTCTCTATTCTCTGCAAGATACGACAAATCATAAAAAAAAAAAAGAACATTATTTTTAGTTACAGTAAATGTTAAAATTCTAACGAGTAATGCTATATAAACAGAAAAAACAAATTCAAATGTGGCTTAAATTTTCAAAATCACCACTATTATATCATTCTATTCAAGAATTCTGTATAAAAATTATGTAAGAATGACATTGTCCTTCCTTATTAAGCATTGGCATTCTTCAAGTTTCAAGCCGTTGAATCAAAGACTTGTTATATGATCGAACTGCCTGAAGTCATCTTTGTTTTGATTTATACGGCATAGTTAAATTTCACTGTCTAACGATTACGATCTATCAAAACTTTTCATATCATTCGGTATTGATTTTCAGTAAATTTTTAGTTGTTGTTGTTTATATAGCATTACTTTACAAGGAATGGGTGTGTTTGTTGTATTTGCACATTAAGAATGAAACGTCAATAAGAAAAATTTCACCTCAAACAAGAGCAAGTCCTCTTGCAATTGCAAAGCAGGACTTGGCATATCATCCCGGATGAAATCATCTGCTTTTATCCCAACCATGTGTAGAATAGAGTTCCCATTGTTGTCAATCTTTCTTATAAGCCTCGTCATAGGAATTTCCATCTTCACCACATAATCAAAAACATGTATTTGGCGGTATTTGATGGCTACATGTAATATGTTACGCCCATGATCATCAATGTGCTCAATTGCTTGAGGATACGTGTCGAGTATCTCTTTGACAATCTCTATAATGCCGTACTTAGCTGCCAAAAATAGTGGTGTTTCTGCGGTCTCTATAGTTCTAGTTTGACCTGCATGGGCCTTTTGTCTTCCCCCTTCCCATGAAGTGTCTCTTGTTATTCTGACATATTTATGGGTCTTGGGCTTACTCTGGTCTATCGCAGATTCAGTAGCTTCCCATGAAATGTCTCTTGCTATTAAGAACTTGGCAAGCTTCAAAGCTGATTCATATTGCGTTTTTTTCCTCTTAATCGCTTCCCATAAAGGTACTTTACAACATGATTCAACTTTTCAAGATACAAAAGCAACTATTAGTTGAGTGATAGAGCTGTTAGGAAAATTAAATTTCAATTATGTGCACTAGGCACTAGCTGTTCAGCTTCAAAATGTTGTAATTGACGTAGAACAAGTAACTGAAGAATTCATGGAACGTTTAAAATGTCATTTTCAATCAGACTACCAAGTTCGAAGGGATTTTGAACTTCTCCAAAAAAGTACTTTTTTGCCCCTAATTTGACCTCTGCTGATCCAACTGTTCCATGAATTATAGAGCTACTTGTTCTACGTCAGTAACTAGGTGTTGCTTATTCCAAGTACTAGAGAGAGAGAGAGAGAGAGAGAGAGAGAAGGTTCTAAGATTTTCTTAAGGCACTTTACCTTCTTCCCTCGCAGGATTATCCTCAGTTTCAATTGAGACACCTGAATGAACTCGGGATTTTTAGGCCGGAATAACTTACTAGAGAATTAAAATGACAAAATGCAATGTAGATTAGCCGAATGGCCAGAAATAAAGGTGAATTGAGCCTAATGTTTATCAGTTATTATAGGCAATTTTAGATGGATCAATGGCAACATGGGTTAACTGATGATTTCATAAAATACAATTGAATAAACAAGTGAATAACTAAGAGAAGTATCATATTGCCTCTTTCGACGTGTATAATGGTTTATTTGTTCCCTAGTAGGTCAAATCAACGAGGTTAAGTTTAGTTGGTTTCATCAGCAAGTCTAAGGAATTAAATTAATAGAGCTCATACCAATGAAGCTAAAATTGAAGGGGAAGTATCATACAAGAGCGGATGAGTCGCTTGAGGCATCTTTGTTTACTTCCATCTTCAAATGCTGATGGGTTGCATGCGAGAAGTTGAAGAGCAGTCATCCCATCTCCATCTTTTACGCCAACTAAATATCCGTGCTCTATTGCAATTAGAAGTGCCAAATCTGCTTCACATTACATTTCAATAACAGAACAAAAGCAAAAAGGAAAAAAAAAAAAAACAGCAAAACAAGCAAAGAAAACCGTCAGACAACCAAAGAATTTCTGATGCTGAAGCAATTCCCTGATGAGTACTTACCAAAGTGCTCAGTGAGGATGGAAATGTGAAGTATGGTGGTTTTATCGTCCCTTTCATAAAACACTTTGCGTCCTTCTTCTTCAACTTCTTCTTCTCCTTCACTTCCAAAGATTCTCTTCACTTCACCGTCAAGAAACTTGAACATTTCCAACTTTCCATAGCGTGCTGCACGGAAGAGAGCAGTCTCTCCCCGCCTGTTGTGCATACTCAACAGCTTCGGTGCTTTCTGTAACATTTCCTTCGCGGCTAGGACTATTCTGTTAGAAGTGGCCGCCTCGTGGAGTACTGTGTTTCCGATATCATTTTGTAAAGTCATGTTTTGGATATCTCTATTGTGCAATTCTTCAAGTAAATCACGCACTAACTGTTTTTGTTTGGAGTAAATAGCCATATGTAGGACAGTGTCATTGTGTATGGTTAGTATGTGTAATGGGCCTTCTGGAATTTGTTTACAGAGTTCAATTACCTTCTTCCCGTCTCCTCCCATCAGAGCTTCATACAAGTGTCTGTTAGTTTTATGCTGCTCATATTTGGCCATGATGAGAGAGAGAGAGAGAGAGAGTTGTACAAGAGAGAGTTCATATTTTGCATGAATATATAGGAAAAGTCAAAGTGTACACAATGACTGGTTTTGCAGATGAGTAAAAGTTTGACACATGACTTATGGGTTTCAAATGTGTAGGTTCTTAGATAACTCACGTGGTTATTGTCAAAACGGCATTGTTAAAGTTATAATTTGATATGCTACAGTGTCAAAATACTCTTTTTTAGTGCAAATGTCATTTTGGCACGCCCAGACTATTACTTATTTCTATTTGTTGGATGTCTCACACCCAAACTATTAGATCAAAACCCTCTCTTATGTGAGCTGAGCTGGCACACATGACATTGCCAAACCTAGTATTTTGTGCACCTAACATTTTTGTTTTTTGGGGAAGCTGTATGAGAGGCTTTTTTGAGTGGAACTACAATAGTTTGGTAATGACAGTGATTATAATAGTCCATTAGAGTAGCTCGTACCCGCTAATGATAATTGGGTCATGTTAGCAATTGTAATTTACTGTGAATGTGACAACAATTTATCCTACATCTGATTTTCTTTGCATGCAAAAGTACTTATTCTTTGCTCAACAGCCTTGAAAGAATGGTCTACTTTGCTAAAATTGTGTACTGAACTTCAAAGAATCTTTGGCAGGGCATTTCTTATTCTGTAAGCTGGTAATGCTTTGTTACATTAAACAAAATGGTACAATGCTTTGCTTAATCCATTAGCAAAGTTACACACCAAGTACAAACATTACCCAAAAAGAGATGATAAACATATTTTGAGACTATTCATTATACAAGTTACAAATATTCAAAATCATACAAATGATACCACATCATCTATTAGTACACTAGTGTGTATATTAATTGGTACATATAACATTATTAAAAGTTACGAAATAGTATTTTCTATTGAAACCGAATGGTCATGCACCTATAAATCAGTACAAAATTAATTGAATAGACACATCTATTTATTAAGAGATGCTTCATCTTCTATATGAGACAAATTCTCTATTTCTCAAGTTCCAAGTCTCTCTCTCCCGGAAAAGTGCAATATCATCCATCAATAATTTTCATAAGGTAACAGTGATAATGGATAATTGATAATTTTTTTTTAGATGATTAGTCCTGTTTATGAACATGGATAAGAAGATTGTTTCTGTGTAAGGTGAAGCTCCCGAGTGTCTAAAATTAGATAGGCACATGACTGTGTTATGTCGAAGGCTAAAAACTACTTTACAAAGAGCACAGTTTTTTCGTGTAAAAAAAGGTTTTCTCTTGAAAATTTCAGTTACTTTTTTTTTCTTCTTAATCTGTAAGAAATGAATCAATAATCCCATTCGTCGACATAAATAGTATGATGCATACAATGGATCATCGTGCTACGACTTTACTGTGAATGTGACAACAATTTATCCTACATCTGATTTTCTTTGCATGCAAAAGTACTTATTCTTTGCTCAACAGCCTTAAAAGATTGGTCTACTTTGCTAAAATTGTGTACTGAACTTTAAAGAATCTTTGGCAGGGCATTTCTTATTCTGTAAGCTGGTAATGCTTTGTTACATTAAACAAAATGGTACAATGCTTTGCTTAATCCATTAGCAAAGTTACACACCAAGTACAAACATTACCCAAAAAGAGATGATAAACATATTTTGAGACTATTCATTATACAAGTTACAAATACCCAAAACCATACAAATGATACCACATCATCTATTAGTACACTAGTATATTAATTGGTACATATAGCATTATTCTAATTTTAAAAGTTACGAATTAGTATTTTCTATTGAAACTGAATGGTCATACACCTATAAATCAGTACAAAATTAATTGAATAGACACATCTATTTATTAAGAGATGCTTCATCTTCTATATGAGACAAATTCTCTATTTCCCAAGTTCCAAGTCTCTCTTTCACAGAAAAGTGCAAAATTATCCATCAATAATTTTCATAAGGTAACAGCGATAGTGGATAATTGATAATTTTTTTTTAGATGATTAGTCCTGTTTATGAACATGGATAAGAAGATTGTTTCCGTGTAAGGTGAAGCTTCTGAGTGTCTAAAATTACCTTCTTATCCTTCAATTTAGATAGGCACATGACTGTGTTATGTCGAACAATATGACCATTGACACAGCAAACTAACCAGATTATGGAAAAATGAGGTCCAACTCTAAAATCAGTGCAGCACTCAAAGCTAAAATTAGTTTATGAAGAGCATAGGTAGTTTTTTTTTTTTTTTTAATAATCTTTTTTCTCTTGAGAATTTCTCTGTCACCCTTTATATTTGACAATCTGTATTGATTAGAAACAATAATCCCTTCCCTCCATTTAAATAGCATGCATACATTGGACCACCGTGCTACAACTTAGACGCCCCTAAAGGCTAAAAATTATTTACAAAGAGCACAGTTTTTTCGTGTAAAAAAAGGTTTTCTCTTGAAAATTTCAGTTACTTTTTTTTTCTTCTTAATCTGTAAGAACTGAATCAATAATCCCATTCGTCGACATAAATAGTATGATGCATACAATGGATCATCGTGCTACGACAACAGAGACATGCCTACTCTGATCGATCATCCAACAGAAGGGGAGAAAAAGGTTTCTGATTTGTTGCAGAATTTCAATTGGTTAATTGTGTTTTGAAGCAAGGAATGAATTCACTTTTAGTCCCAAATTATGTTCACATGGCAACCAAGTTTAAAGAGCTTCAATAGAATCACGAGCTTTGTGACTGAACAGAATAGCAGTGCTGTTTGTGCACTTCACAGCGTATCGCATAGTGTATCAACCTTTTCACAGAGACCAAGATAGATGGTATAGAAACATGAAATTTGTAGTAAAAATATTTAATGTGTTTGGTTTGAGTTTTCTAGATTAAGTTTTTTTTAAAAATTGAGTTTTTTGGTTTTCATATTTTTTTGTTTTTAGTGAATATTTTTAAAATTTTAAACATTTTTTTTACTTTTTTAGATGCATATTAGTTAGATGTATCTAAAAAGTAAAAAATTTATAAAAAAATATTTTAAAAAATTAATAAATACATAAAAATATAAAAAATGTACTGAATTCATATATTTTTTTTTTGTATTTTTGGTATTTAGTGAATTTTTAAAAGATTTTTCTTTACATTTTTTTTACTTTTTATGTGTATTTATATTAGGTGTGTCTAAAAAATAAAAAAATTGCTTAAAATATTAAAAAAATTCAGAGTAAAAACAAAAAAATACGGAAAATAAGAATGTAGAATTTTTTGAAAAGTGTTTAAAATTGCTTAAAATATTAAAAAAATTCAGCAAAAATAAAAAAACACGAAAAATAAGATTATAGAATTTTCTGAAAAGTGTTTTCTGAAAAATGAAAACAAGCAAGCTGATTAGAATTTTTTTTTTGTATGTATGATAGAAACAGAGACAAATATATATAAATAGTCAGTGTGGGACAGGAAGAGATACAAAGGCTGTTGGGTATACTTCCTTATTGGAGTATAGGATCTAATTAATTTATTAAAAGAGTTTAATTTGATTTTGTAGTAGTTATAATTTATTTTTATATATTATATTTAATTTGTGAAACCTAATTCAATTTGGTAACAGCTAGAGTTTTGAATAAAAAAATCTCAAGAATCAAAAAACAAAATATATATATATATATATATATATATATTGTTCCGAAGTGCTGCACAAATATACGATTTTTCATTAATCTTGGTGACCGTACATGTTGATATTCAATTTGGTGCTTAGTTAGTGGTTTAGATTTGATTTGTTGATGCTTTGCTATTTTTAATTCAAAGTTGATTTAGTTCATTATTTTAGATTTTTTACAACTCTGTTTTGAAGATTTTTGTTCATTTATTTGATGATGTCTTTTTTCTTATTTATTTGTGATTATTTAGAATTCATTTAAGGGTGGTTTGTGAGACCATTCGTGTTTCATTTGTAATCGTTTGAAAACTTTTTGGTTGATAGTGGAATCAGATTTCGATCTCGTGGACGTACCTCACAATGAGAAAACCGCATAAAATTCTTGTGTTGCTATTGATTTAATTTTTCTGCATTAGTTTTTATTCCCATTAATTGATTTACTTGTGAGATATCATATATTTTCCCCAACAACTGGTATCAGAGCTTATGGTTTATTTGGATTTATTTATTTGTGTAAATCAATGGATGGTAATGTGGGTCGTATGTCTAACTTCAATGGAAGCAATTGGATAACTTGGAAAACTAAAACGGAGGACTTATTATTTTGTAAAGATTTGTATGGGCCTATTGAGGGTGATAGTGGCAAACCTGATGATATGAAAGATGATGAATGGAAGAGGTTTAATCAAAAAGCCGTTGGTGTTATCCGTCAATGGATTGATGACAGTGTGTTTCATCATGTTGCTACTGAAATTTCAGCACATGATTTATGGAAAAAATTAGAAGGCCTTTATGACAGAAAATCAGTCACAAATAAAGTTTTTCTATTTCGTAAGTTGGTTAATTTAAAATATAAAGATGACAGCCCTATTTCGGAACATTTGAATGAAATAAAGAGTATCGTTAACCAACTTGCTTCTATGAAAATTATTTTTGATGACGAGTTGTAGGCTTTGATGCTACTTAGTTATTTGCCAAAAAATTGGGAGACTTTGGTTGTGACAGTTAGTAATTCAACACCCGATGGAGTTGTCACAATGAGCCAAGTCTTTAGTAGCTTGTTGAATGAAGAAACTAGAAGAAAATCAGCAGGTTTCTCTCATTTAGAAGCATTTGTTGTGAGAGGCCGAAGCAAAACAAGGGGGAGGAGTAAGACTCCTCATGGTCGTGAACAAAGCCGTGACAAATCAAAAGATGGTTCTTTTTCAAAGAAAGACATTGAGTGCTATTATTGCCATGAGAAAGGGCACATGAAGCAAGAATGCCGAAAGCTCAAAAACAAGGAGAAAAGGCGTGACAAAAGTGTGGATAAGAAGTAAGAAGACACAACG